CTTGCCAGGGAAGTGCTTATTCCACTGAGCCATCTCCCTAGTCCCACTATTCACTATTTATTAACTTAAATGAATTCAATACATTTCGTTTCAGCCTAGAAAAATATATTTTTATAAGGAAACAACCTAAATACATTGCAATTATTAATTTAAACACCATATGATACATTTGTGCAGCAAGATACCATGTAGCTGTGTGAAATAACAAGGTAAGGACCTACAAGGTGGTACAAATCCCAGCACCCAGGAGGCTGGGGCAGGACAGTGAAGTTCAAGGCCAACTTAGGCAATATAGCAAGACACTGTTTTTGTTTTGTTTTGTTTTTTTTAAAAGATTGGGAAATACGAAGCCAGGCATTTGGCCTGCTTCCAAGATTTACGTCTTCCGTGAGACGTAGCTGTAACCTGGCACTGAGGAGCAAGAAGCAGGAGGATGGCATATTTAAGTTTGCCTGGACAACTTATACTTTGCCTCAAAATTAAAAAGTCAAGAAGTGCTGAGGGCTGGGGCCTCCGAGATAGCCCAGCTGTCTGAAGCACTGCTTAGGCAAGCTCAGGCGGTCGATCCCCAATGCTGCATCAGCCGGCTCTCAGGACGGGCTGAGCGGGGCAAAAGAAAAGAAGTGCTAAGGGCGTAGCCTGGCAGCTATCTATAACCTTGGGTTAGATCCCCAATATTGCAGGAAGGAAAGAAGGAAGGGAAGGAGGGAGGGAGGGAGGGAGGCAGGGAGGAAGGAATGAAGGAAGGGAGAGAATAAGGGAGGGGAAAAAGGATTGAGCAATAGGGCTGAGCGTGGCTCTGTGGTACAGTGCTTGTAGGAGGCCCTGGGCTCAGCTGCTACCACCACCATCACCAAATAGTCGGGCAGGGGAGCCAGCTCAGCAGCCTCAGCACCTGCCTGGAAAGCAGAAGGTTCGGAGTTTGATCACTGGTTTAAAAAAAAAAAAGTCTTCATCTTCAATGCAGATCTTGCATGCTCCAGCGACTCCAGTGCTGCGGGCTGGCTCTTGTCCCCAGATGCCTCTGTGGACAGGCAGCCTTGGGTCCCTTTCCTCCACATTATCTCTAGGCACAGCCAACCTGAACCCCTGACGTCCATCTGTGCTTCCCCAAATGCACCTGAGGGTGAGAGGCAAAGTGACCCAAGGAGCCTGCTTCATGCTTAAGAGTCAATAATAATCATTCTCACGTAGCTAGTTCTGAGAGCCCAAGGGACTGCAGGAACCTCACAGGCTCCACAAACGGGGATCTTGGGTACGGGACAGGTTCTACCCCACTGAACAGCCTTAGATGCCCCCTCTAAGCTGGGTCACCAAGAGTGGGACAGAAGAAAGGCCTGGTACCAGGGTCACCAGGAGGGGGACAGAAGGAAGGCCCAGTACCAGGCAGCCGCCGCTCCACTGCTCGAGGGGCGGGGACAGTGAGCCCTGGTCATCCCCGTGGTCTGTGGCCCTTTTGTGTAGATGCCTGGCAGAAAGACTCGGGCTGTTCCAACTGGCACAGCTGACAGTGGCTGGGAGGAGGCAGGCCCAGGCAGAAGTGCCCTCCAGACCCTCCCTTCCGCGTTCTTGGGGGCAGGGGCCATGCAGCCCAAGGGCCTCTGCTTGGTCTGACCCCTCGTGGGCTCTGGCCCAGTAACAACAGAGATGCCTGGTTCACCAAGCTCCTCACTGTCCGGGGTCCTCCTTGCCTTCTTCCTGGTCCAGCTGCCATCCAGTTACGCAGGTAAGATGTGTTTGCTCCTTTCCTGGGGAGACCTAAGAGCAGAAAGTCAGTTTCCCAGGGCTTGTTTCATAGTCACCCCTCAAATGTCTACACAGCTTTCCAGAAGTGAGAGCTGCAGACTGAGCTCCCCTCTTCTAAAACTTCTGTGGCTCCTTGTGGAGTAGAAAGCAAACAAAGTAGTTTTTACTGTGTGTGTGTGTGTGTGTGTGTGTGTGTGCTTTGCTTTTTCAGTGCTCAGGATTGAATTGAGGGCCTTGCATATGCTAGGCAAGTGGGCTACACTTGGGTTAGCTTTGGCTTTTTACCTCTCAAGGAGGACAAAACAACAACCTCTTCCAGCTGTCATGAGGGTCAGATGTGCTTGGCAGTGCTGTGCAGCAAATGCCAGAGTCTGCTGAGTCATAACGTCTTGTTATGCTGGGGAGCTCGCTTGCACAATGAGGCATCCACAAGCTTTTATAGGGTGAGGAGAAATAATGAGAAGACCAAGTCCCAACCTCAGAGAGCTGCACCTGTGTGCTCCGCAGAGAAACCCTCCAGGTCAAGGGAGACCCCTTTCCTCCCAGAAGCCCAGAGTCACCTGAGAAATGCACCCTGCACAGGAAAAAGCAGGGTGGTGCTCAGAGCAGCTCCAGGGCTCAGTGAGGGTGAAGGCAAAGAGGCAAGTCATCTGAAGCAGCTGGGCAAGGGGCACACCTGTAATCCCAGCACTCTGGGAAGCTGAGGCAGGAGGATGGCCAGCACAGCCAATGTGGCACTTTGGCAAGACCCTAACAGGGGTGGAGGGAGAGATGTTAAAAAAAAAAAAAAAATGTATTGCAACTTCTAGAACAGCCACTGAAAAAAATTTAAAAGTGTAATTGGTTCAGCAAGCAAAAAAAAAAAAAAAAAAAGGTGGGGATATAGCTCACAGTAAAAGTCATGAGCTCAAGCCCCAGTACCTCAAGAAAGGAAAACGTTAAAAATCTCAAATGGAGTCAGACCTGCTAACCTGAGTGGCCAGTCTCAGAGGAGAACCAGGGCATGGCAGTGGGAGCAAGGATAGAGATGGACAGGCAGCTAAAGGGGACGGCGTGACACAAGCAGAGCCTCTACGGAGAAAATGGGAATCACCTGAGCCAACACCACCAGGGAGGGCCTGGGAAAATTAAACTTCAAGACAGCAAACCCAAGCAGGCATGGTGGTACCAGCCGTCAGCTCTCTGGGAGGCTGAGTTAGGAGGGTGTTCAATCTGAATCCTGTCTGGGGGAGCTTAGTGACACAGTGAGACCCTGCCTCAAATAAAAAAATTAAAAGGGGTCTGGAAGTGTAGCTCAGTGCAAAGGCCCTGAGTTCAATCCCCAGTACCAGAAAAAATAAAATAAAATTTAAAAATCAAGTTCCCTACCCTTCCCCACAAGTCACTTGTCTCTCAAGGCTGACCTTGGCCCTCGCTGTGTCTCCCACAGGACAGTTCAGAGTGATGGGACCAGGACAGCCCCTCCGGGCCCTGGTTGGGGACGCAGTGGAGCTGCCCTGTCGCATTTCTCCAGGGAAAAACGCCTCAGGCATGGAGGTGGGGTGGTACCGGCCCCCGTTCTCAAGGGTGGTCCACCTGTACCGCCATGGTAGGGACCAGGACACGGAGCAGGCCCCAGAGTACCGGGGCCGGACTGAGCTGCTGAAGGAGGCCATCGGGGAGGGGAGGGTGACGCTCAGGATCCGGAATGTCAGGTTCTCGGATGAGGGCGGCTTCACCTGCTTCTTCCGAGATCACTCCTACCAAGAAGAGGCAGCGATGGAGTTGAAAGTAGAAGGTGAGTGTGCAACACAAGCTGTTGTTCCTTTGAGACTTCAGTCTTTCAGGTGGGAACGCCTTTCACCTCAGTACTTCTGAGAATCCCATGGAGATATGTAAACCAGTACAGGAGCTCCTGAACTCATGGACCCCTGCAGCAGCACTGTTGGCACTGGGAAGGAGAAAGGAGTAAAAGTGAACGCCCACAGTAAGGAGTTGGCTGCATAAATAATGGTATCCCTGCCATGCATACTATGCAGCCATTAAAAGCATTGTTTTAGGGGCTGGGGAGATGGCTCAGTAGAATAAGTGCTTGCCTGGCAAGCACAAGGGCCTGAGTTCAATCCCCGGTTCAAAGGATTGTTTTAGCACTATACCAAATGGCTCAAAGCAATTCCTGAGGAACCACTGAGTGATGAAAGCAAAATACAGCATACAGGGAACAAAAGCATGTCTGTTTGTGAGCGTGTAAATGTGTATTCAGAGAAAAATGTGAAAAGACACCCACAAAAGATGGATCATCTGGTGTGAGAGGAGAAGATGGATAACAGAAATGTTATTTAGCCAAAGAATAAAAAAGGCCATGGGCCGGGGAGATGGCTCAGTAGAATAAGCACTTGCCTGGCAAGCTCAAGGGTCTGAGTTCAATCCCCAGTTCCACCAAAAAAAAAAGGTCAGGCAAGGTGCCACAGGTCCGTGACTCCAGTTACCAAGGAGATGGAGGTAGAAGGATTAAAAGGATGAGATCAATTTAGCGAGACACTGTCACAAAATAAAATTTTTTTCAAAGGTCTAGATATGAATTTCAGTGGTAGAACACTTGCGTAGCATGAACAAAATACTAAGTACTGAAAAAAAAAAAGGAGGGACAGTGAGATAGCTCAGCAGACTAAACACCTGCTTTGGTAGGTGCAGGGACCAGGGCTCGATCCCCAGTCCCACATGCCATGCTGGTCCTCCCAGGGAATGGTGGCACATGCCGGTAATTCCAGCACTGGGGAGGCTGAGGCAGGAGGCCGATGAGTTGAAGGTCAGCAGGGACTACAGCATGAGAATGGGTTCCAAGAAACACAGGAACGGCGGCTGCAGCCCACAGCCAGGCAGGCAGCACGCACCTGGACCCTGGCCCTCGGAAGCAGCAGCCCGCTAAGGCCGTACAGGGAGATCCTGTCTCAGAAAACACATACATGTAACCTCCAGCTGTGGGCACAGATACGAGAAGTGAGGAACAGTTCTTAGAAAAAGAGGGACAAGCAGACCCCCAACATCCAAAATAACCTGTGTCTGATTATTTTGTGCTGCCGCAGGGGACTACAGCTATGAGAGTTAATGTAAAAATCCAAGTAGACTTCTTGGTTTCATTTTGGGCTGTCTTGGATTTATTAGTTATGAAGAACATTGTTCTAAAGAGTCAGAAGTGATCAAACCCGACTGCAGCAAAACCCTGGCATTAATTTATTTATTTATCACGGGGGGGGGGGTGTTTCTGTAGAGACAGGATCTCACCATGTTGCCTAGGCTGGCCTTCAACTCATTATCCTCCTGCCTCAGCCTCCCAAGGGCTTGGATTACAGGTGCATGCTACCACACCCAGCTGCAGATTATTTAGGGTCTCAGGGCGCCAAAGTAGGGCAGGGCTCTGAAGGGGGGCACAGGAGGGTCTTGCAGTGAAGGACAGAGCTGTGCTTCAAGTCTAGGCCTTCTCCTGCACTCCAGGCCTCTGAGTGTGCGTGGGCCACTTAGGAGATGGCGTTGTGCGGAGGTAACAGAGCACTGTCTCCCAACTGCAGAGGCAGGGGAATGGCGCTGTGTGTGGAGGGACATTCTTTAGGCAGCTGCTCTCGCTGGGGAACTTTCACCTGCAAAGATAGCTCAGAGGCATAAGCACACACCTGGCAAGAGCAAGGTCCTGAGTTTGATCCCCCCACACCAAACAAACAAGGAATTCATCAGAGGACTTCCGTGTAGTTTTTCTTCTTTCCAGCTCAACAGTTTTCTAATCTAGTAAGTGCCTTCTCCAAGAACTCTGAGGCCAGCACCAGAACAGAGAGGAAGGAACCCTAAAAACCCTGCCTCAGAGAATGTTTTCCTCCGGTCTCCCCACCTCCAGGCTCCACAGCCTAAAAGGCTAAACAAAGCCTCTCACAGAAGCACCCTGGGAGCCCGGAAGGGAGGAGAATTTAGGAACAAAATGCGACTGTGCTTTTGTGTTTCACATGTAAACTCCCCCGTTTCTGTGAGAGGTTTCTTTTTTTCTCTTTTTTTTTCTTTTTGCATTTTAGGGAAGGGTCTACATGGTGTTCAGGGTCTCACTACTAGTTCAGACTCATAGTGATCCACCTGTTTACAGCCTGCACCACCACACCCAGTCTCAATTGCCATCTCAGCGCGCCCTGTGGACAGGGCCGGCATGGCAGGCCTGGGGATCGAACCGCCGGCCCCTGCGCCTGCTTGCAGGCCCTTTAATCCACTGAGCTATTTGGCCAGCCCTCTGTGAGAGGCTTCTGATCTTTTAATTTTTTTATTTTTATTTATTTTTTTTAAAATATTATTTATTTGTGTGTGTGTGTGTGTGTGTGTGTGTGGCCAGCTCAGCCCACCAGGGGGCGGGGCTGGCTGGCATGTGGTGTTGGAGGATTGAACTGCGGTCCCTGTGCTTTGCTGAGCTTGTTCTAAGTAGGTGTTTTAGACCACTGAGCCATCTCACCAGCCCCGATCTTTTAATTTCTTTAAAATGTTTTTCTTGTCATGTGTGATTTTATCTGTAGTCCCCAATCCCTTACTTTTTGTTTGTTTTGGAATTTTTTGCATGGGGTGGTTCTTTTTGGTTTGGCTTTTATTCAGACAGGGTCGCACTGTGTGGTGCAGCCTGGCTGGACTTACTGCTTAGCACAGGCCAGCCTTGAAACTGCAGTGACTATCCCGCCTCAGCCTCCTAGTGCTGGGATTACAGGCCTGCGCCGCACATCCAGCTAGCATGGTTATCTTTTAAGAATGAGCTGGTGGGCTAGGATGTGTCTGTGATGCTGGGAGTTGGACCAGAGTCTTCACTTTGAGCCACATCCCCAGAACTTACCTACTTTTGAGTTTTGAAAGAGGGTCTCCTTTAGTCACTAAATGGCATAGCTTGATTTGAAGTCACACTCCTCTTGCCTCAGCCTCCCAGAGCGCTAAGATGTTGCCAACATGCCTGGCTTCTTTTTTATTCTGAGACAGGGCCCTGCTCCTAAGTCGCTGCACTGCCCAGGGTGCGCCTGCATTTCTGCCTCTGCCACTTGGGTTCTTATCCTCTGGTTGGTGTGCTGGCCCCTGGCCAGATCAAAGGAGGCCATTTATTCTGATAAAAAATAAAAAGTTTATTCATTAACTAGCTCCAAGGAGCTGAAGGGGCCTCTTTACCCAATCCCTGTCTCATTGTGTACAGGTGTGTGGGTCTGTGACAGCAGGGACAGTGGGACAGTCCAGGCTGTGTTCAGCCCTTCCTGGACCTAACCCACCTTTCCCTTACCTGTGAAGATAAAACTGACCTTTGGCCTCTGGGTACCAGCATCTTGGTGACAGGACACTGTCCACTCATCTGGGCGACTAAGCCCTACACCTGAGGAAGTTCGGAGATGCCCTTGTCTCTACAGGAAAAACCAAACTTTCGAAGTTGGTTTAGGGTTACACTGGCTCCACCTCTGGGATTCAGACCCTCCACTCGGGCAGGGCAGAGTGAGAAACAGATCCACCACCCCTCAATGCCTACTCTAAATCAGACTGGTTTCCAAAACCTGTGGGTCCCACCTTTTTTAATCTCCACAAGAGAGGGGTTGCAGGTGTAGCTCAGTAGCACAGTGCCTGCCTGGCAAGTGCAAGGCCCCGAGTTTGATTCCCAGTACCAAAAAAAAAGTAAAAATTTCTACAAGAGAAGTTCTCGGGGGCCAGGGAGATGGCTCAGTGGGATAAGTGCTTCCCTGGCAAGCGCAAGGGCCTGAGTTCAGTTCTGCAAAAAAAAAAAAAAAAGAGAGAGAGAGAGAGAGAGAGAGAGAAAGAGAGAAGTTCTCTTTCTTAATTTTAATTTTTTAATTTTATCTTTTTAAAATGTATTTGGTACAGGTTCTCCTTACAGGGCTGGCATGGAATGGAGTACTGGGGATCAAACCGGGTCCCTGTACTTGCCGAGCAGGCACTTACACCACTGAGCTATCTCCCCAGCCCCGCAAGTGATGTTCTTAACTTTTACCACAGTACTGGGGATTAAACCCAGGGCATCCAGCACACTCAACAAGTATCCTCCCACAGGGCCACATCCAGTCTTTTTTTTTCCTGTTTTTTTTCTTAAGACAGGCTTTTACTGTATAGTTCAGGCTGGGTTTGAACCCACTATGTGGCCCAGGCTGGGCTTAAACTCACGGGGATCCTCTTGCCTCTGCCTCCTAAGTGCTGGGATTACAGGCCCATGCCAGGCTTTTGCTTTTTTGCTTTTTCTTTCTTTTTTTGAAACAGGGTGTAGTCCTGGCTGGCTTTGAACTCAGAGTGAAGCTTCTGCACTGCTGTGCTCTGCTTCGGCTGTTTTTCTACTTTAACTGTTACCCCGGCCTCTGAACTGACTCCCCTCCTTAGTCCTGCGGCAACACTTCTGCTACTGTCGCCTCAGCTTGGGCCCCACGGCTGGAGGGCCAGATCCAGCCCCTTGGCCAGCCCTCCCTCACCCAACTCTGACCTGACACACATGGTGACTCGGAGCCACAGGCCCTTTCTGGGAACGAGCCACTCCCGCATACCTGGGTCACTGTTTTTGAATCACGGTGCCGATGCTACCCCACTTCTGGAGCTACCCCACTTCCGGAGCCCCGGGTAGGGATCTGGCTGCTTCTGTCTTTCAGACCCCTTCTTCTGGGTCAGCCCTGGCGTGCTGGTCCTCATCGCGGTGCTGCCCGTGCTGCTCCTGCAGATCTCCGTGGGCCTGGCCTTCCTCTACCTGCAGCACAGACTGAGAGGTACGGGCAGAGCTGGCCGGGCATCTTCCCAGTGGGCACTGGCCTCTTGCAGTCAGGGCACTTCAGAAAGATTTCAGGCTCAGAACTCCAAAGGATAACAAATTGCATAACTGGTTCCCTGAAAATAAGTCCTAGCCAAAAAAATAATGTCTTGGAAACTAGAGGTTAAAATGCCAGCCCCGGCCAGGGATGTAGCTCAGCAGCACAGTGCCTACCTGGCAAGTTGGTCTTGAGTTTGGTTCCCCATGGTGGTGGGGCGGCAGCCCCGCTGGCCTCGTGTGCAGCATGGGACTTGCGGGAAGTTTTCCTGTGGATGAGAGTGACACAGGAGAAATTAATCCCAACCTGCTCAATATCAGACGTGCTCAGCCAGCTCATGTCCCTTGGACTGAAGAATGAATCCCAAAGGACAATGGAGGTTAAGAGTCCAAAGGCTTATTGAGAGCTCCTGAGAGGGAGGAGGAGTCCCGTGAGGGTGGTCACAAGGCTCTTTGTCGGAGGTCATTCCTATAGCAAAGTCATAATTTGGGCACAATGTGGGTCAGACTATAATCAACAGGATGACAAGTACTGCTGCTTAGCTGCTATCGACCCAGTAGGGAAGCGGGTCATGTAGTGAGGCTACATGGAAGAAACAAAGGTGTTCTGGGGGAGGGCCAGGCCCAGATACTCTGATTACCCACTTGGGCCACTGGTCATCTGGATTTCTGGACCAGGCGGTGCCGGTTACAGCACAAGTCCAAGCAACTGCTTATCTTTTAGGGAGGCATTAGGCCTGGCCATTGCATCATTATCTTGAGTCCTGGCCTTCCTCAGACAAGCCTCCAGCCACAATTCTGTCTTTATCTTTGTGCCGACTTCCTGGAGAGCCCAGGGCCTCTCTGGCTGTACACTAACTTCTAACTTAGCTGCCTGAGGTAACAGGGACTTGCCTCTCCCTGAGGGCCATCTGATGCACTCTGTGGAGGAGGCATACAGCTGACCCAAGCAACATGATTCTCAGTGCAGAGCTCAGGACTCTGGACAGAACTGAGCAGCTGAGGCCAGGCAGGTGTGAGCTGCTAGGGCCTCTATCAAAGGGGTTCTCTGAAGGGGAATCTCTGACACAGCACGCACTACTGTCTTCTGCACCTGCCCCAAGCGCTCAGGTCGCCTGTGGACAAAGCCCTTTTGTTCCCAGAGCATCCCAGCCAAGTCCCCACTTCTCTCCAAGACCAAAGCACAAGGACTGTCACCTGTCACCCTGCTGTTACCAAGAGGGTTAGGGCGTATGAGGCACCACAGTTGTTAGTGGGATCCACAGCAGGGTCTACTCTCTCATCGTCAATTCATCCAGGATGCTTAGGTCTCCATGAAAAGGATCTTCAGCCATCAGGGATGAGCAGGAAGAACCAGAATGTTGGAGTTACATACCCTGGGACTGAATTCCACGTTAGGTGCTCAATTACGCACATTCTTGCTTCTCCAGGCCTCAGATGCCTTGGATGTCAAGTAGAGATAACATTCTCCCTCTAAATTGCAGCATCAGGTATAGTGGCTCACACGTGTTATTCTAGCACTCAGGAGGCTGAGGCAGGAGGACTGACGTGAGTTTGAGAACAGCCTGAGCTACACAGACAAATCTTGTCTCAAGAAAACTAAACTGAGGTGATGACTAGAGGGCACGTCATGTAGTCTCTAGTACAGAGCCAATATATGAACCTTCTGCTGCAGTGTTTGGGCTTTCCCTTCCTGAAGATGGGACAAAGGGCCAGCAGGGTAGAAGGGCAGTGTGACCAAGACTCCAGATGAGGAGCAGAAAGCAGCAGGGAAGACCGGCACCCCGTGCTAGTTTGGGGCAGTGCTGTTTACCAGGCCATTACATCTTCATTTCTTCTGATTAGTCTGAACTGTAGCTACGACAGAACCTGAACGCCTGCCCTCAAATCCTGGGCTCTTCCCACACTCCTAGGGATGCCACCAGGCTGCCAGGGACAGAGTATGTGAAGAGCCAGGGTGCCCATTGAGTGCCAGAGTAGGAACTAAAAATACTGCCTTTTTCTATTTTAGGAAAACTTCGAGCAGAAATAGGTGAGTTCCAGGCTTTTCTCCCCACATCCCTTTTTAGTCTTTTGGAATGACTGAAATGAGACACCTCTACCTCTCTTGGGCGCACTTGTGCTTCCTCCTGTTGGAAATGCACCATTGAAAACTAACCAGCTGAGAATTAAGTGGAAATCCGGGGTGTATGGGGGGGGCTGCAGGTTAGCTCAGTTGTTTAAGCACCTGCTCTGGCAAAGGTAGGTGGGTGCAGGGGATGGCAGTTCGATCTCCAGCTCCACATGCCTTACCAGACCCACCCTTAAGGCTGCCTGAGCCAGACCCTCACCAAAAAAAAGAGGAAATACCTTTGGTCTTCCCTTCCTCCCTCAGAAGTAAAATCCTACAGCTAAGGCTGGGAGATAGACAGCTAGTGGCATAAGTGCCTGCCTAGCAAGCCCAAGGTCCCAAGTTTGAACCCTAGTACTGCAATATATATATATATATATATATATATATATATATATATATATATGCATGCTTCCCTCCCTCTAGCGTGTCCCAAATGTAACCAATTTTAAGTGATTAAGTAACAGGAGAAAGGGTCCCTCTTTTTGTGCTCTACTGATCCTATTTCCTTGTGTTCCTCTTTCAGAGAATCTGCACCGGACTTTTGGTGAGTGTGGGCCTCCCATGTACATTTTGCTCAGGTTTCAGTGGCCTTCTGGAAAGGTCCCTAGTCCTCTTCTATCTATGAAAAAGCTGTCATTTGCACTTTTTTTTTTAACGTATTTAGTACAGGGTCTCACTACAGATTGGACTTGTAATGATCCTCCTGTTTTTCAGCCTCCCAAGCACTGGGATTACAAGCGTAAATCACCACGCTCACCGAGTCAGTGAGCCCTGGGGGTGGGACCAGCACTGCAGGCCAGGGATTGAGCCCCTAGCCCCTGCGTCTGCCTAAGCAGGCACTTTAATCCACTGAGCTATCTGGCCGGATTTGTGCACTAGTATCGTTGATAGCAGACACACCCAGATGCTGTCTAGCTGAGGTGAAACATGGAACAGAACAAAGCACACATCATCTCTTGTCCTTTCGCAAAAGAACAAGCTTCCACACATGGCTCATCAGGGAAGGCTTCTTAGGGGGAAGAAAAAGTCACCCAGCCCCACTAAAAACTTGATTGCAGTACTTGGGAAGCTGAGTGAGGCAGGAGGATCATTCTGAGGCCTGGACTGCATAATGAAAGCATCTCAAAAAGAAAGAAATTTGATCTTTTTCTTTTTTTCCTTACTTGTGGTACCCACAAGCCAACATAAGGGTCTGCAACTGTTTTTGTTTGAATTTTTTGAGACAAGATCTTGCTAGGTAGTTCAGGTTGCACTTCAACTATGTAGCCCAGTCCTAGAACTTTGCAACAATCCTACTGCCTCTGCCTGTCTCTGGAGTACTGGGATTGCAGGTGTGGTTGAGTGTGAGATCTTAACACCTTGTGCACTATGAAAGGATTCCCTTCCAGAATGTTCTTCTTCTTTGGTGCAGAGGATCAAGACCCTAGGCTTCGGCTGGTGAGATGGCTCAGTGGTCTAAAGCACCTACTTAGAACAAGGTTAGCAAAGCACAGGGACCGCGGTTCAATCCCCCCGCCCCCTGGTGGGCTGAGCTAGCCACACACACACACAAAAAAAAAAAATTAAAAAAAAAAAAAGACCCTAGGCTGTCAGTTAAGTGCTCTTCTCAGGAGCCACACCCCAACTCCCAGAACAATTTTTTATGTATTTGGTACAGGCTCTCGCTACTCAGCTTGGACTTGTAGTGATGCTTGTTTTAGTCTCCCCAGCACGGGGATCACCACAACCAGCTTCAGTGGCCAGCTTGATGCGCCTGGGGCAGGGACAGTACAGCCTGCAGTGCCAGGGATTGAACCTAGGCTTTCGCACTTGCCAGGCAGGTGCGGAGCTACCTCCCCTGCCTGTGAGCAATGTTTTTGGTTTTTGGTTTTTTTTTTTTTGCTCCAAATGCCTTCAGGGCAGGTTTGGCTGGCTTGAGTTGTGGGAATCGAACCACAGCAACCTGACCCTGACTGCTTTGCTGAAGCAGCCACTTAAAGAACTGAGCTAAGGGGCAGGCCCCCCCGGGAGCAATGTTTCGAAATGCACACATAAAACATAACACATAGGATTATGAAAAAAATCATTGTATTGAAATAGTTATCGACATCTAAACAAATTTGATATAACAAACATCTTTAAATAACAAAACTAATACATTAAATAACAGAGCAGCAACTCTAATAATGTAATTTCAAAATACTGATAAACAGTACCTAGAAGGCCAGTGAAATGGCTCGGAATAAGCGCTTCCCTGACACTCGCAAGGGCCTGAGTTCAATCTCCGGTTCCACCAAAACAAACAAACAAACAAACAAACAACAACAAAAAAAAAAATTGGAGATTTCTGTGACTTTTTTTTTTTTTGGTGGTACTGGGGCTTGAACTCAGGACCTCAACTTGCTAGGTAGGCACTTAAGCTGCTGAGTTATCTCCCTGGCCCTTTCCGTGACCATTTTAGTGGGAACAGAAACCTTTATAAAATAAGCCAAACTCAGAAAGCTAAGTATCTCATATTGCACTAACGTAGAATCTAGGGATGATTTTAAAAAGGGCCACGAAGGTAGAGACAGCTGGATCACCCAGGGTTAGGAAAAGGGAGGATAACGGGATAGGTATGATCAAAACATGTTACACACATGTATAAAAATGCCACAAAGTATTCTGCTTCGTATGGCTGACTATACCTGTCTGCCTATGATTTCTGTTGGTGATTATGTCATAGGTACTGCTGATTTTGTAGGTTTGGGTTTAGGTGTTACAGTCCTAGGGACTGAAGCCAGGCTCTTGCCACAATGAAGCACTCTACTACCAACGACCTCTCCATCACTGTGAGCACACCGACGCAAGCGTGTGTGCATCCAGCAGTGGGGACTAATTTCTCACTAAAGTACTTACCTAGGCTAGACTCAAATTTGTGATCCTCCTGCCTGTCTCCTGAATAGCTGAGATTACAGGCATGTACCACTGTACCTGGATTTATTTTTTTGTGTGTAGCAGGCTGAGATAGTCTTTATGTTTTAGGCTGTCTTACCGTGTAGCACAGGTTGGCCTTGAATCCACAGTGATCTTCCTGCCTCAACCTCTTGAGCTGTGGGACAACAGCGTGTGCCATCACTTAGGGTTAGATTCAACAGATTCTTGTTTTTAGTTTTTGAGACAGGGTCTCTATGTAGTTCAGGCTGGCAGAACTCACAATCCTGTCTCAGCCACTCAAATGCTGAGATTACAGGGGTATCATCACCATGGTCAGCAAGGCATTTCTTCACTGAAAATACAAGGGGCAGAGGAGGTAGCTGAGCAGACTAAGCAGCTGCCTGGCAAGCCCAAGGATCTGAGTTCACTCGCCTGTACTGGATGTGGTGCTGGAGCTGAGACCAGGCATGGTGGCACACACCTGTAATCCCAGCTCTGGGAAGGCTGAAACAGGAAGATTACTACCTTTGTTTTTCGTTGTTGTCATTTTTTGGTGGAACCGGAGATTAAACTCAGGCCCTTGCACTTGCCAGGCAAGCACTTATTCTACTGAGCCATCTCCCCGGCCAGGAAGATTACTGAGTATGAACTGCATAATGAGACCCCGTACCAAATACATAAATTAAAAAGAAAGAAAATATAAGCAACAAATTGGGAACGGTGGTACATGGCTATAATTCCAGCTACTCTGGAGGCTGAGGCAAGAGGATCACAAATTTCAGGTCAACCTGGGCCACTTAAGGTCAACCTTGTCCCTTTAATAAAAAAGCCTGAGGAAGGGGCCAGAGATAGCTCAATACAATAAGCGCTTGCCTGGCAAGGACAAGGTACTGAGTTCAATCCCCAGTACTGCAAAAAAAATAAAATAAAAAAATAAATTCCTGAGGAGACAGCCAGTGGTAGAGAGCTTGCCTAAGATAGGTGATACCTAAATTCAATCTTTAGTACTGAAAAAAAAAGGAAGAAAAAACCCAAAAAGGAGGAGAAAACTGGACAGGGTGTGAAGCACAACATTAAACTTGCTTGCTCTGCTGAACCATTCAGATCCCCACTTCCTGAGGGTACCCTGCTGGAAGATCAGCCTGTTTGTAATCGTGCCGGTTCTCGGGCCTCTGGTCGCCTTGATCATCTGCTACAACTGGCTACACCGAAGACTAGCAGGTGCAGTGTGGGGCAAGGGCCAGAGTGGGAAAAAGAGGGCTGGCAGCCGGGGCTCCCCTCGGCCACTGAGGAGAGCCACTCACTCTGGCGGGTCCTGGATGCAAGGGAGGCTGCATCGCCGGCTGATTACCTGTGTTTTCTTGTTTGCAGGGCAGTTTCTGGAGGAGCTAAGTAAGTTCTATCTTATGAGGTAAGGAGGGGGCCAGGAGATAGCTCAGTAGAATAAGCACTTGCCTGGCGAGCACAAGGGCCTGAGTTCAATGCCCAGGTTCAGCCCGCAAAAAAAAAAAAAAGCTAAGAAGGAAAAGCCAGAAAAGGCAGATTGAAGTGATAGGGCTGGTAGGGGAGTGATGAAGGTTCAGTCCCAGGGAAGAAGGGCTGAAAGCACAGGAGGACTCTCCTGGAGAGAGTAGGGAGAAACGAGGGGAGCTCCCTCCACACATCCATTCTCCAAGGAACTACCTGTGCACCACCCCCAAGACCACCCGCCGAAGCAGAGCCTAAGGAAGAGAGGTGATCCAGAGTTCCTTTCTCCTTCTAGGGAACCCTTTCTGAGGGAGGCTGCATCTCGGAGCCCTGGTCCTTGGGGTGCCTCACCCATCGAGCTGTACTCATCCTCTCTGCAGTGGAGACAAGGAGGGCCCTGCACTTGCACAAACACCAGGATTCCAAATGGAACCAGTGGGCCGGGGAGATGGCTCCATAGAATAAATGCTTGCCTGGCAAGCGCAAGGGCCTGAGTTCAATCCCGGGTTCCGCCAAAAAAAAAAAAAAAACAAAAAACAAAAAAAACAACCACTAGATTCCCAAATGGAACCGATGTCCTGTCTGCGTCTACTCTCCTTCCTCCCCCTCACGTCGCATGCCTACTCCATCTCCTGCTGCCCCAAAGAGGCAGGCGCTCTGCTCCCCTCTGAGGACACTGTCCTGGAGGACAACAACGACCCGCAGGGGCTGAGCTGTGAACTGCAGATCACCAGCACCTGCCTCTCACAGCACAGCACAGCAAATGCAAACAGTGGTTATTTCTCAGATTCCAGCCTGATGGGGCAGATGAGGAGTGGAAGTTAGGAGCCTGAGCACAGGGAACCAAATAGCAGAGGACGCTGAAGAAACTGCAGAGCACGGCTGCGGCAAACTCTAACCTAACCTGCCCCTGGAGTGGAAGAGACCCCAGAGCAGAGACAGGGCTCCACCTCACCCCAGCAGCTGAGTGGGGCAAGGACCAGCACCTTCTCTTGCCTGCATCCCTCTTCCCCTCACCCTTTTCTACCCATCTATCCTCACCAGAACATACAGTCTGATTCAACTATTACTACCTGGCAGTCTATGAGACACAAAGAGACGGCTAGGTGCTAATTAATAACACTTGTGCTTCTCTGCTGTCGCTCGCCTTTCTCCCTCAGCCAGGTGCTGCCGCCCCAGCGGGCCAGAGCCTGTTTTCACATCAGGACTCCTGCTGCCCCCTTTGCAAGTCTCCTTCACATGCTTTCTTCCTTGCTTCCCCTCTCCCACGGCGATGGACCCTAAAAGTTCTATTTCCTCCACATCTCCACTCTTTCGCGGCCACAGAGGAGGCAGCACCGGGAAAGAAGCCCAGCCACTGCCCCAGGACCAGCCGGCATTGCTCCCTGCCCCTCACACCCTTCCAGTGACCCACAAGCTCCTGCTTCTCCCCAAAGCAGATATCACACACGGGGCAGCAATAGACCTTCTGCTGCCAGTGGGTCTGCTGGTGCTGGGCCAGCCGGGAGGCAGAGCTGAAGGCCTGACCACAGTGGAAGCAGCAAGCCAGCTGCTCCCCCAGATGCGCCTGCTGGTGCCTAGAGAGGTAGGCTCTCTTGCTGAAGGTCACGGGACAGTGCGGGCAGGGGAAGACCCTGCGACCCAGTCTTGAGGGTTTCGCTGGTGGAGCAGTGGCTGTGCTGTCTAGGCCGGACGCACTAGTGGGGGTTACCCGGCTCCTGGTCACAGGTGCTTGATACCCAAGTTCGGGGGCCCGTGTTTGGGCCCCAGGATGCTTGGTGCTAAACACAGGGCGTGGGGTGCATGGTGCACGGTTCCCATCCACAAGGCCCTGGTGAGACCACTGGCCCCTGACAGTGGGAGCCGGGATCCCTGCTGTGGGGCCCAGAGACCTGGCAGTGCACTCGGGGTTTCTGGCTGCAGGCTCCTGGTTCTGGTGAATCTTCTGATGACGTTTGAGTTCCGACTGGTCCCGAAAACCCTTCCCACACACGGGGCATGAGTGGGGCCGATAGCCCAGGTGGACACGGCGGTGACGGCTAAGTCCAGAGGCATCGCAGTAGGTCTTGTCACAGAGCGAGCAGCAGAAGGGCCTCTCCCCGAGGTGCATGCGCCGGTGGTAGCTCAGAGCCTTGGGGTTCCGGAATAGCTTACCACACTGGCTGCAGCTGTTGGTCCTCCGGGGGCTGTGGACAAACTGGTGGCTGTGGAGGTAGGAGCTCCTGCTGAAGCGCTTGCCACAGGTGTAGCAGGTGAAGGGCGGCCCTGCCCGGGTTGTCTGCGGCCCTCGGCTCACATCCTCAGGCCTAGCCAGGGTGGAGGGCAGGCTCTGGCCGGGCCCTCTGTGGGCATGGTGGGCCTTCTTGCCACCACCAGCCCCATTATCTTTTGGGTCCTCACAACGCTGCTGCTTCTTACTTCCTGCAGTGAGTGAGGGATAATGCAAGATTTGCCCGGAGAGAGGGCACCACAGCTCCCCTGCCACCAACAGTCCCCATCACCCTTGGATCTCACTAGCTGGAGGTGGGAAAAGCTTTAGGCTTTTCAAATTATAAGCAAATAAAAATTTAATTAAAAAAAAATCCGGCAGAGATCCATTTTTTTTTTTTTTTTTTTGGTAGTACCATGTTTCAAACTCAGGACTTTGCACTTGCCAGGCAGGTGTTTATGCCACTGAGCTATATCCCCAGCCCCATAAATTTTAATTTTAGGGCTGGTGAGATGGCTCAGTGGTCTAAAGCACCTACTTAGAACAAGCTTAGCAAAGCAAAGAACAGGGACCTGGTTCAATCCCCCAGCACCACATGCCAGCCAGCCCCGCCCCCTGGTGGGCTGGGCTGGCCACACACACACAAAATAAATGTTAAAAAAAACAAAACAACTTTGATGGCCTCTCTTACATGATTAAAAAAAAAAAAAAGAAAGAAAGAAAATTTTAATTTTAGCCAAACATTTTTTGGTTAATTTTTGTCTTTTTGGGACAGGGTCTTGTGGCCTCAACTCACAGTGATCTGCCTGCCTATGCCTCCTGATTGCTGGAAATGCCTGACCACAGCCCCATTTCTTGAAATCCATCTTCTTCCCTCACTGTTCTACTCCCACAGGTACCCACAGCACTCCCAGGTGACTGTGACGTGTAGTCATACCCACTACCTGTGACCTTGCTTTGCATGGTTTCAGTCAACCAGGGTCAGCCAGAGCCCAAAAATATTGAATGGAAAACTTTTTTTTTTTGGCGGAACTAGGGATTGAACTCAGGCCCTTGCACTTGCCAGGGAAGTGCTTATTCCACTGAGCCATCTCCCCGGCCCCACAAAGCTTATTTTGCACACTATGACAAGTCCTTCTATTTTATTATTTTGTTTAATCTCTTCCTGTGCCTGACATAAGTTAAACTGTATCACAGACATGTACACACAGAATAAGACATAATATACTGTTTGGTGGGGATTCCTGACATCCACCAGGGGCTTAAAATGAATCCCCATGGATCCCCTCTACCAGACCCCGGTGCTGGGCCTGGAACTCAGGGCTCCTGCATTCCAAGCAAGTGTTCTACCACTAAAGCATGGCTCCAGCCCAAAAGACCACTCCGCATTTTATTGGGCAAACACGGACACCTGAGAGTAAAATTTTTTTTTTTTAATTTTTATTTATGTGTGTGTGTGGCCAGCTCAGCCCACCAGGGGGCGGGGCTGGCTGGCATGTGGTGCTGGGGGATTGAACCACGTTCCCTGTGCTTTGCTAAGCTTGTTCTAAGTAGATGCTTTAGACCACTGAGCCATCTCACCAGCCTGAGGGTAAAATTATTAATAGTTATTAATAATCAAGATGTGAGCAATAAGTATAAACTGAGATTGTTCTGGCAAAGTGGGAAATATAATCAGTCTGACCTGACAGCTCTCATTTTTTTTTTTTTTTTTTTTTTCGGGACTAGGGATTGAACTTAGGGTCTCTTTACTGAGCTGCATCCCCAGTCCTTTTTAACAATTTTTATTTCAAGACAGGATCTCTTGGAGCCGGGGAGATGGCTCAGTGAAATAAGTGCTTCCTTGGCAAGCGCAAGGGCCTGAGTTCAATCCCCGGTTCTGCAAAAAAAAAAGAAAAAAAGACAGGATCTCTCGTAAATAGGAATCTCAAGTCTGTATCTTGTACAGCAATTAATCACTGAGAATATATGCAGTGTGTTATTTGTTGAAACTGTACTTCCGATTTGATTTGAAACTGTCTCATTGCTATCTGTTTATCAATAAAATTTTGAAGGAAAAAAAAAAAAAAAGACAGGATCTCTCTAATCCAGCCTGGACTTGAACTTGGGATCCTTTGGCCTCAGCCTTCCAAAGTACTGTAATTACAAGGAGTAACCCTGCACCTGGCATCTCTCAACGCTTTATTTCCAGCTCCAGGTCTCCTCTTTTCTAATCCACCATCAAGTCTATCTTCCCTGCCTCTCTTTCTTCTTAGAAAGAACTTTATTTTTGTTATGGGGATCAAATCAGGACCTTGCGCTTGCCAGACAGGTGCTTGCGCTGCTATCTCCCCAGCAGAAAGAACTCTTTAAGCAACAGCAACTAGCATATAAACACTCAATGCCTAAACACTGAAGACAGTCACTCGTCCTGAGAGGCTTAGACATTCCCCATGAAGTCAGGGGACTTAAGCCTTCACTCAAAGCCTCTGCCAGCTCTGAGGCTGACTAGTCTGGAGAGGCGCAGATTAGGAGGAGGGTACACACCCCGATCATCTCAGTCAGCTCTCCACCCTCCCAGGTGCTGCCCTGGGCTCTCTTTATCTTCTCCTTCACAACTCATACCTGAAGGGAGAGCTTCTCCACGTGGGGAATGGAGATCCTCCCTCCTCTGTCTCTCTTCTTGCTTAGGATTGGCGATCAGACCCGGTTTCAGCATCAGTATTTTGGCTGGTAAGTGGGAATGAGAAAGAGCTGAGTTGGCCTTAGGCTTGGATCCTTCTCATCTGCAGGGAACAGTAGGCCACATCCTGTATGCTCGGCTCAAGAGCTTTAATCTGGGCCACTCAGATGCAGGAGGAAGACACGGAAATGGCTGGCTCCTGGTGCAGGAGGGTCTTAGAGGCTCCCAGGTCTTGTCCTCTCCCCCAAGCTTATCTGCTTGCCCAGGGAAACCTGATGCTCTAGGCCCCCAGGACAGGGCCTTGACCAGGGGACCTCAGCCCCTTACCCACAGACAGCAGGTTCCTCAGGGTTTCAGACATAACATCACGGTGAAGGGCCCTCTGACTGGCATCCAGACATTCCCACTCTTCCATGGTGAAATTCACAGCCACATCTTCCAGGGTAACTGGCACCTGGAAGAGCAGGACAAATACATGAAGTGTGTGACAGCAAGACTGACACCCAAGGGGCCGTGGGGAGATGGCTCAGTAGGTTAAGTGCTTCCCTGGCAAGCACAAGGGCCCGAGTTCAATCCCTGGTCCCCCCCCCCCAAAAAAAAAGACTGACACCCAGTCTCAGAGTTCAGAGAATGAAACCCAGGGGAAAAATAAGACCTTGGGAGGAAGAGGGATACAAAGAGACAAGCACAAAGCCAGCAGGTGTGACCTCTCAAAGGGGCAGAGACATGGGCAAGGGATATAGCCCAGTGGCACAAGTGCCCGCCTGGCAAGTGCAAGCTCTGCTCCCGAGTTTGAGTCCCAGCACAAAAACCACAACAAACAAGGCTGGGGGGACAGTTCAGTGGCATGACACCTGCCTAGTTAGTAAGCACAAGGTCCTAAGTTCAATTCCTGGTACAAAAATAAACCAATAAAATTGTTAACAGCAGAGAAAAGAAATGGAGGGAAATACACGGAAAATTTTAAAAAACCAAACAAACAAAAACAAATACCCAAAAGGTGGGGGCCGGGGAGACGGCTCAGTGGAATAAGCGCTTCCCTGGCAAGCACAAGGACCTGAGTTCAATCCCCGGTTCCGCAAAAAAAAAAAAAAAAAAGGTGGGGGAGGCTGCTCCCCAGCTAACTTTGAGAAGCATCCACTAAGGACAGTAGGGTGCACACATGTGGGTGCTGAAGTTTGCAGCTCCTGTTCCTGTTTAGCTTGGAACGATCTGAGATCCACCAGAGCTCCTGACCACCCTGCCCTCTAGCCTGGCCCCTCAACACCCCTACATCTTCTAACAGACTCTTCTTGGCTTTGAAAGGGCCACTGCTACCCAACTCATGTGAGGGCGCCATACCTTGTTTTCCATGGTGATTCTTTTCAGCTTTATCCACTCGAGGCCTGGTCTCCAGGGCTGACTGGGCTCCTGAGGGCCCTTCGCATCTCTGAAACTAGGCAGACAGAGACGCCTAGCAAAGGCCACTGAGCTTGATGTAGCCTCCTGTGAGAACTTGGTCTGCTCCACGGGGCCATCTTTTCTGTCAGCTGTGCTGGCCAAGTCCCTCTCTTTGGCAGTGCAGAACACCTCTGACTCTGTCACAGCCTGGACCACAGAGCTCAGGGCCCTTGATACCCTGCGCTCAGCTGCCATGGCCCAGCAATGCCAGGTTGGGGCTGGGCAGCTGCTGTCTGCTCCAGCCTGCTTCTAGATACAGGAAGGACCTGCCTCTCAGAACCTGAGGTTGGAGAGAAACAACACACCTCAGCAAGGTGGAGAGTAAGGCCAAGCATTAACAGTGCCTTTCTGGGCACCCCTGAACCCTCTCAACAACACCCCAGGAAGTAACAGTTATGGACCCCACCTTTACTTCTTTTTTTTTTTTTTTTTGGTCTTTTTGAGACAGGGCTGGCCTTGAACTCACTTTGTAGCCAAAACTGGTCCCAAACTAGCTATGATCCTCCTGCCTCAGCATCCCAAATGCTGGGATTACAGACATATGCTATCATGCCTGGCCTATTTGCTTTTTTAAAAAAAATTTTTTTCTTAATCTTTGTTCCAAACTTTATTCCCAGGCTTCTCTAGCTTAACTGGCTGCAAAGAATGAATTGTATATAAGCAAACACTGAAAAGAGCTGCAGCATCCAAGGGGCTTGGGCTTAAAAAAATATTAGAAAAAAAATTAGAGATCTAGAATTTATCAGATCCATAAACAAAAACAATCCCCCCCCCCCCCGAACCAGGGATTGAACTCAGGCCCTTGTGCTTGCCAGGGAAGCACTTATTCCACTGAGCCATCTCCCTGGCCCCAAAAAATGGCAGAAGGATTTTTTATGACTGACTGGAGTTGTGGCAATCGAACCACAGCAACCTGAGGCTGACTGCTTTGTTGAAGCGGCCACTTAAACAACTGAGCTAAAAGGGCAGTCCCCAACAAAAACAATTTTAAAAAGCAATCATAATATACAAATAGTAGCTCCCAGTAATTTATTCCAGGTTTTGCAAACCTTTTTTTTTTTTTTTTTTTTTTTTCCAGAACTGGGGACTGAATTCAGGCCCTTGCAATTGCCAGGCAAGCACTTATTCTACTGAGCTATCTCCCCAGCCCCTATTCCAGGATTGTTTTTTTTTTTTTTTTTTTTTTTTTTTGGTGGAACCAGGAATTGGACTCAGGCCCTTGCGCTTGCCAGGGAAGTGCTTATTCCACTGAGCTATCTCCCCGGCCCACCTACTCCAGGTTTTGATCTGGAATGTCATCATCCTCCTCTCTGGTAGTAAGTGGTGCTTTGCTTTTCCATCCACAGATTGCCTGGGCAGAGCTTCAGCCAGTCTCCTTAAACTAGCCAGATTGTTTGCGTCAAGCTGGTTCAAGATGCTAAGTAACATTTCTGTCAGCATGGCCTGTAACAGTGAAAGTGTTTGCTGCCAGAGATGCTGAACTTTTGGGTTGTTGAAGTGGAGAACTGTTCCCTAGTTTGTAAATATATTCACCTCTTCAATACCAGAGATATTGTTTACTCCTAACTTCTTTCATGAGAACTAAAGTTTTTATCATGTGCTGTGGCTGTTCTACAAACCACCTTCTTTCTGCAAGCAGTTCCTTTCCCACCAATGCACACTTGCGCCTGCAGTTTTTCGGTTCATGAGTTTTTTTCATCTTGTCAGAGCAGATATGGGGCAGTGCAGGGACTAGGGCTGGCGCTTGGGGTCTCAGGCAGACCATCTGAGATTAGGTGCATACATGTGGGCATGCAAGATGGCAGCTCCTGTTTTGCTTTTTTTAAAATTTTACCAATGTATATTTTACTTGAACACACAAAAACATACATGCTTTCTCAATAAGGTCTTCAACGTGTCTTTTTTTTCCCCAAAATTTTACTGAGACAAGCAGCAATGAGACAGTTTCAAATCAAGTTGGGGGCTGGGGAAATAGCTCAGTAGAATAAGCACCTGCCTAGCAAGCACAAGGTCCTGAGTTCAATCCCCAGTACTAAAAAAAAAAAAAAAAAAAAAAAAAATCAAGTTGGTATGACAGTTTCAATAATTAAAAAAATATGGAACACTTCACGAATTTGCGTGTCATCCTTGCGCAGGTGCCATGCTAATCTTCTCTATATCATTCCAATTTTAGTATATGTGCTGCCGAAGCGAGCAACCGTTTTGCTTTTTGAGACAGGGTCTTGCCATGTTCTCAGCTGGTCCTGAACATCTTATCCTTCTGCCTCAGCCTCCCAGAGCTGGGAATACAGAAACACACCACCAAGCCCAGCTACTGACCCCATCTTAAGGAACCTTCAGCATAGAGATGCTGAGTAACTCATCCAAGGACACTCGGTGTGTGGGAACTAGTTTTTTTGTTTTGTTTTTGTACGATAGGGTCTCTATGAAGTTCAGGCTGGCCTTGGACTCACTGTAACCCTAGCTGGCTTCAAACTCACAGTGATCCTCCTGCCTCAGCCTCCCTGCAGCCATCTTCTACTGTGCACACTGGAGCTGGTGTTTGGACCAGAGTCACTACAAAGCATAAGGTAGAGGCAATCAGGCCAGGATCCATCACAAGCCACAGAGCTACTCTCTCCATTCTGACTGGGTTTCAGTGGAAACACCCTACCAAAAACAAAAGCACATGATTGTGTGACCTGGATTTTTTTTTTTTCCCCCAAGTTTGGCGATCAAACTCCAGGCCTTGGTAGACAAGCATTCTACCACTGTGAACTGGATTTTGAATACAGAGATGTTCAATCCCCAGTTCTGCAAAAGAAAAGGAAGAAACAAAGAAAGGCAGGGTGTAGTGGGGCAAGCCTGCAATCCAGCAATCAGGAGGCCAAGACAAGAGGATCACTGTGAGTTCCAGACATAGTGAGAACTGGTCTCAACTTGTACCTCCTGCCCAAAAGAACCACAGCTTAGCAACAAAGCACTGGTGGGTTCCCTGCCTGACCCAGCAGTTGACCAGTTGACCAGTAACTGCAGGCTGCTGGGGTCACTATCAGCCCTGGGAGGACAGCAGTGTCTTCACAAGCTTAACTATTGTTTCTCTTATGTGAGTAACCTAACCTGTAATTAAAGAGCCGATTTTTAAAAAACATAATAGACGCCAACGGCAGACGGTGTCCATGGCGGGCTGGTGAAGGACTGTGAGGCCTGCGCTGGACAGTGCAGACCTGTCCAACATGCTAGCGCTGCCAGTGGTTCCTCAACAATTCCAAGCATTTGCTCTGGGGGAGACCAGCCTGAGGCCCAGTTGGGGAACCAAGCAGGATCCAAACCACAGCCTCTGCCAAACACAGCCCACCTCATTCCCATCCACCTTCCTATGGAAAAAGTCCAGTCTCAGGCTCCAGTTATCAGCAATGAATTTAACTCATCTTCCAGATAAGACAAAATTTAACTGTTCGTTCCACTTTGGGGGAAAAAAAAAAAAACCATAATAGAAGAAGGGCATGGTGATGCATCCTTTAATCCTGGCACTTGGGAGGCTGAAGCAGGAACATCATTTCGAGTTTGAGACCAGCCTGCGCTACAAAGTGAGCTCAAAGCCAGTCTGAGCCCACTTTGTAGACCCCATCTCAAAATAAACAAACCAAACCAAATAAAATAAAACAAAAACATGTAACAGGAAACAGAGAGATGGATCTTTTGCAAATAGGAGGGAGATCAACAAAAGAGAAGGAGGGGCAGGAAGGAAACATAAAAAGAATCAAAATGTGCTATGCATGTGCACCAACTTCCTGTGCTGAATGTAATCATTAGGCATTGCAAATACATACCAATGAAGTAGAAATTTTTAAAATGTTTGAGATACATTCAAAGAGAGAACACGTATCAGAGCCTTATGTACCACATACTACTGGCCCGAGGAGGACAAGATTCAAACTCAAAATCTGAAGCGCAATTTCAAATGAACTTCCCAGGATTCCCCCATGGCAAAGCTGAAGCTCAACGTGGTGGCACCAGCCTGTGATCCCAGCCCAAGCAGGCTGCCACCAGTGCCAAAAGTTCCAGGTCAGCCCCAGCTACACGGCAAGCCCCTGTCTCAACAGAACACCCACCCTGTAAGCGGAACCATCACTGTCAATGCCCCTGGAGGCCCGGTGGCCAGAGCCTCGGGAAGACCAGCACGGAGAACCACCCAGCAGAACTTCCGCTGGGCATCAGATCCATGCACTTCGAGGTCCCTGCTAACGCCACAGGGTAGAGCCTGCACCTTCTGCTGGTGGCCAACGACCCCCATCTTCCCACCCACCAGATGCTGAGAAGAGCCTGTAAGGCTTCTTTCTTTTTCCTTTCCTTTTTTAAGAAAAATTCTTCTTTTGTCTGTTTTTTTTTTTTTTTTTGAGAGAGAGAGAGAGAGAGAGAGAGAGAGAGAGAGAGAGAGTGTGGTGTGTGTGTGTGGCCCGCTCAGACCACCAGGGGGCGGGGCTGGCTGGCATGTGGTGCTGGGGGATTGAACCGCGGTCCCTGATGCTTTGCCAAGCTTGTTCTAAGTAGGTGCCTTAGACCACTGAGCCATCTCTCCAGCCCCTCTTTTGTCTTTTTGAGACAAGGTCTCGTTTATGGAGTTCAACCTGGCCTTGAACTCACTTTTTAGTCAAGGTTGGTCTCAAACTCAAGAGATCCTTCTGTCTCAGCCTCCTGGGATTACAGCGTGACCAGCTTTCCTTTCACTTTGGAAGGGTGGTAGAATTGAAAATACCAACAAAGAAAAAGGCATTTGAGGAATGGCTCCCTGGATCCCCAGAAGACGTCACCGGGAGCTGCGTTTAGAGTATTTTCCCTTTTCCCCACCCCCTTTCAGAAGGACGACGCAGGGCGAGTCTCCCATTTCCCAGGCAGCCGCACTCCAACGCTTCCCTCAGCGTTCCCGGGACCCAGCCTCGGGACGCCGTAGTCACCAGTCCTCTCGAAGGCACTCGCCGAGGGTGGTGGGAAGAGCCCGGTCGGAGCCCGCCCCGCCCCCGGGCGGCTTCCACCCGAACCCGCGCAGCTCCCGGGGCGCGGAATGGCAGCACAAGGTCGCACGCGGCCCCTCCCGGCCGTCCCACCCTCGCATAAGGTCACCTCCCTGAGAAAGGGCCGTCACTTCCGTTCGCCACCACGCCGCCTGTCCAGCCCCAAGGTCTGCGGTGTCCCCCTAGCAGATTGAAGGCCGAGGTCCCAAGCCCGCGCGCGGCCTGGCAGCAGCCACGTGAGCGCCCGCGACGACGCGGCCGCGTGCTCTCGAGGTCGCGGAGCGTGGGGCTTCCGCGGCC